GAAAAACTTAAACATGTTTATAAAAAGGTATGCAAATATCAGTGCCCTCTTTAAAAAAATTGTGATTACCTTGAAAAGTTTCATAAGGTTGTGCCACTAAAAAACGTAGCTAGGAATTGCCGAAAATGCAGAAGAAAGCTGTGAAAAATATAATAAGTTAAAAAATAAATGATTCAATAAATAATATTGGAAAAATGTGTGTTTCATTTACGTGTTCGTTTTTCCTTTTTTGTTTTAATACAACAATAATAATAAAGCAGACTGATAAGTCTAGCTTATTATTATTGTTGTATTAAAACAAAAAAGAAATTTAAATTAAAGTAAAAAAAATAATGTGGAAAATAGGAAGACGGACGGTAGGTACCTACCCAAAAAAAGGCTGTATAGCCAAATGCCTTTGCCGATAGTAGATCTATAATATTTAAAACGAATGAAGCTGTCATGTATCACTGGCTCCCACGAATGTCAACTTAAACTGGATTGCGTACTGATATATTTCTTAAAATCAAACTTACACTTTATCTAATATAAAATAAGGTTTATTTTTCTATGTCACATTTCAGAGTAGAAAAACGGTCTACTAGAGATATTAGATTTGTAGTAGTAGGTCCTTGTCTAACGAGTTGCCATTGGAAAATTAAATAATTATTATTGGCAACTAGGAGATTTTATTGATTTTTTAAAGACATCACTAGGTAATTTTAATTATTATCTATTAGTAAATATATTGAATAGACATAGTTGATATGTTTTTTAAATAAAAGTGTGAATTAATTAAAATTATAATGTAAACCGATGTCGTGTTAGTAGTTTTTCGTTACATCTAAGTAGCAATATTATAAATTAATATGGCCGCTCGATGTGACAACATAAACAATGTTAAAGTTTAATGTTTATTTGTGTTTTGACTTACTAACCCCCGGTTTCAATAATATACCGACAACCATCGGTAGTAGCTACCGACCGTTTTTTGAGCTACCGACAAACATTCGTTTTTGCGTTTCACAATCATCGGTAGGCGCCTACCAACTACGAACGGTTGTCGGTAGCTCATTTTTTTAAATTGTAATCATATAATTCGAGGAAAAGGGTTCTTTCCATACAGCCTTGTCTTAGGTAATATTATGATTCTACTGAAATGTTAGTCTTTAACATTTAATAATTTCTTGGACAAAATCGAAATCGTAAGAAGGAAGACAGAGACATCAATAGGAAGGAGGTGAACTGATTAATTACGTACCGAAACTAAATTTGAAATTTGTTTTGGACTTATTATGACTTATTTATTATATGGTTAGGTTCTTAAAAGTGGTGTTATTGTGAAACAAATTATCGTCTGAAATGGAATTCTGATGTAAAAAAAAGAGTTACCATTACAACAAATAGCTTAAATTTATCTCTTTAAAAGTTTTTAGTAATTTTTTTACTTGAACTAAAAATCCTTTTTTTAGATAAAAATAGGATAGAAATATTTTATGCTGCAGGCAAGAAACAGCGATTCGGAACATTTGGCTCATTGAATTAAACTTTTTTTATTTAGTATGATTTATCGTAAAATATTTATAAATAACACGTTTTCCCTTGTTAATTAAAAGAAAAGTAACAGTTTTTCATTAAAAAAATAATATTGTAGAAGAGCTAAATGTGTTTTGTAGTTCAGATTAGAAGAATTTAAATTGTAATCATGTCAATGTTTGTACCTTAAAGGGCTCTTACTACAAATTAATTATTGGTCCAGATGCTTTCTACAATATGTTTCTTTTGAAAAACATAATGATTTACCTCTATATAATTATGAAAAACCTGGTTCTGATGAAACTTAATTTGCCAGCTACTGTACAAGTATTTTATTCGATATTGATTTACAATTTAAAGTACTTAAAATTGAAAAAGTAATGAAATTCTGATAGGATAATGTCAACAAATCTTACATTTTTATCCCCACATTGTTATACAAAATTAGTTACACTAGAATGAGAAACCTTCTTTTTCATTGAAGTTGATAAAAAATAAGACTTTACATCTTATTTCCGTATTATTATTTGCAAAAATAAAATTATAATTAGAACCTTTTGGAAAATGTTTGCAACCCCTAAAATAACATCATTTGTTTATATAAGTTTTTTTATCTCGAATTAAATTTCGAAATATAAGTAAACGTGTGCAATACACATTTCATTGAAATGGTACGGTGCATGGTTATGAGCAGTGTTTTGTCAATTTAGTAGGTACAAGAACGCGAACGTGTTACTTTAACATACCTCACCATTTTTTAATATATTTCAATTTTTGCTCCAAAAAAAGCATTTAAAACGTCCAAGTGAACCTCAATGTGTATATTGTCACTTTAGACTAGGTTGTATGTGCTATATCCCTTTGCCTTTAATTATGCCAAAAAGTAAAGTTGATTTATGTTCCGTAGAAGCTTAGCGGGAATTTTATAAAGAGTTTACCTTTATTATAAATTGTTAATTGTATAAAGTGATTTGTACTATACACATTGAATTTGCAAGATAACATTAATGAATTTGACAGTGAACAATTGTGATCTATTGACATAGGATGATAAATGAATGGTTATTAGAAAAAGTGGAATGATTGTATCAAATCGTAAAACAAACGTAGAAAAATGCAATGGAATAATGTAAAAATTATGTAGTTTTTTATGAATTGTTTTTTATTTGTAAAATAAATAAGTTATATCCAAATTGGGTTTTAACTTATTAAGAATTAAATCAATATCAGTGTTTAATAAAAAATAAAGGGTATAAACTAATGTAATGTGTATAAGTTTGGTACAAGTAGGTGGCAAATTCAGTTTCATCAGAACAAGGTTTTTCATAATTATATAGAGGTAAATCATCAAGTTTTTCAACAGAAACGTATTGTAGAAAGCATCTGGAGCAATGATTAATTGGTAGTATGAGCCCTTAAAGGTACAAACATTGGCATGATTACAACTTAAATTCTTCTAATTGGAACCACAAAACACATCAAACTCTTCTACAATATTAATTTTTTAATGAAAAACTGTTATTTTTCTATTAGTTAACAAGGAAAATCGTGTCATTTATAAATATTTTTACGATAACCGACGGAAAATGGCCGGTAGGCAAATTTGACAAATAAGCTACTGATAGTAAGTTTGACAGCTCTACCGAAAGATATTGAAACACCTGTTTGCGCCATTTTCATACATTTTGCCTACGAACGGTTATCAGTATCAGATCAATCCGTTAGTAGCACACCGTCGGTAGCTTTACCTACCAATGGTATGTTATTGAAACACTTTTTTGCTACCATCGGTAGGAAATGCTACGGATGGTAGCAAAAACGGATAGTTTTTTGGTTATTGAAACCGGGGGTAATTCGATTATTTACATCAAAATGGTATATTGTTTTGCTTGGCTGATTGCAAAAATGAATGGTATCACGAATGTGACTTCACATTCCACAGGTAAGCTGTTTTCCTTATTTATTAAACAGTGATGAAATAGGGTGTCTACGATCAAGAAACAAAACCATATCAAAGAGGCTTTGATTTAAATTAATATTCATACGTTTATATTATAAACATTTATAAGTTTTACTTACGCTACCCGCCATTCTTCGTTATCAATATTTTCACGGTAGGTACAAAGTTATTTGGAAAATGAAAAACGAGAACTAGCTTAATTATGTTTTGGAAAATATCGGAATGGCCTACACATTAGTTTGGATAAATATTTTTAAAGTAATAATTTTCTTATGCTGACCATGACAAAATTGCTCTTATGTTTCTAGGATCCTAAAGGATAAAAGTCTAGCTGAAAAATGGAGGACAATAATACCAGGAAAAGTGATCCGTTGTATTCTAATACAATTAATAGGAAAAAAAACATTTCTATCCTTTTAATTGATTTATACATTATAGATGATTATAATAACATTTATGTACTTGTTTTATTTCCTACAAAATAAATATCTTTACCGATAAATAAAAACTAATTTATCGGTTAAATTTCTAACATCATCATTCATAATATCTGTAAAAATTTATAAAATTATATCTGTAAATGTTTAAATTTGGTCATGTAAACATTATTAAATATTACCTATTTATGAAATTATTAAAAACGCGTGGACATCCTACAAAACTACTAAGACAGAGATGAAGAGTTACTAATTTACTCTCTCACTCTGCCCGTTTTTAATGAAACACTGCACAATCCAGTTTAAATTGACATTCGTGCTGGCTCCCAATCACATACCAGGCACTACAATCTCAATACAGTTTGACATGTTACAAGTAGTACAAATACCCTTTAAAATTAAGATGGTGCCTAGTTATATGTAAAATTCAAAAAGAAAGGTAGCATTTTAATTTAAATACATTGTAATTTGTGTTTACGTGTCACAGTCACAGGTAGCGCTGGGGTGTATTATAATGCGACAAAATCAAATTATATAAAAATATCACGTGAGGTTTGCTTTTAGTGTACTTTCGGATTTGATAGCATAATATTTGTTTGAAATATTGACACAATAAAATTTATTTCAACCCATGGTAGATAAAAGTTTGTTTCTGGTAATAGACAGAAAATTGCAATATCCGATATTTATTAATAAACAAAGTAATTATTTAGTTATTCTTATTAAAATGCTTTATTTGATAACAGAATTTCATCCTAATTAATTGTTATCATTTATAATTCGCTAAATTTTATTTTGTTTTAAAAAGAGTAGTATTAGATGATTATCAGTCTGGCTAGACTCATGTAGTTTATAAACAAAAATTTAGAAAATGGCTCCCACCGCGTATTGAGTGATCGTTTTTGCGTGTGCGTTGCATTTTCGTCCTCAATTTTAGCAATTATTGTTTTCTGTCAAGTACGTTGAGTTGAGTAAATCCTCCGGCTTGGCCGAAACTTGTATTGTTCTTTTTGTGTGAATTAAGACAGTTTTTATTGTGAGAGACAGGACTCCAGTGTTAGATAGTATAATATTGTGCATTTTCCAGCATGTCTAAGAAATATTGCTGTGTGCCCGGATGTGCAGGCAGTGAAAGTAAGTTAAACAACTGATAATACATTTTTATCCTTCAATTCATTTCCATACTCCTTTCATGTCACCTAACGCGTATTGTTTGTATTAATTTCTAGATACACATCCCGTGCTACATGTGTTTCCTAATCCTGAGAAGGACCCCGATCGTTTCCGATCATGGGTTCTTGCTGTTGGTGGCGACATTTTGGGCCTGGACAACAATTGGATTTACAAAAACCGCAGAGTCTGTCATCAGCATTTTGAACAACAATACTGTTATTACTCTAACAAACTCAGTCAATCAGCAATACCAACAAAGAATTTACCGAGTAAGTTTCTAAAACTTTTTTTTGATAAAATTTATATTTACTTAAGTAGTTTTTATATGAATTTATGGCGCTTGTAAAGATTTAGGGAATTTTTTTATTCACTGACAACCCTTACTGTCAGTTGCACAAACGTCCATTAAAGCAAATAATGCCCTTTTCACACTATTTTTTATAGTCCATTTAACATAGTATGGTGATGTTTGTTCATAAATACATTTCATGCAATCGTTATTTCCAAATAATTAAAAACCATTATAATAGAAAATAGTTGGACTGTGTATATATTAGATAAAGTTTAAATCATCAATATTTGTATCAGTAATGTCACTTTAAACTAATGACAATTTTAATGGGTGTTTGTGCAAATGCCTGTTATTCATCATGTTTGATAATATTATCATATACAAAGCTATTTTTATATTATTTCCAATTGTAATAATAAGTAAAAAAATTAAAGCAATTTTGTTGGTGCCTGGAGACTAATTGTCTAACTTTAAATCTATCACCATCGCTTTCAGTTTGAGAGATGTTGTATAACCATTGCTTGTTTCTGTAGATAGTTGAAAAAAAAGTATTTGTATTATGCAGCAATGGTTGTGCAACACCTTTCAAACTGAAAGCGATTGCAATAGATTTAAAATTAGACAATCAGGGGGCTGATTAAACTTTAAAAATTCAAATTTGTATGGGCCTGGTTGAGATAGGCAAATTAGAATGATTAGAAAACCGACTGTTTAGTTAAATATCTCATATTTATTTAACTTAAAGAATATGTTTTCAGGACCATCAACAATACCGAAGTTTACTTTTAGTGCACACAGTTGTATGAAGGATGTTCACAATATTGAGAAACATAATAAACCTTCAACATCTAAAGGTATATATTTTGTATCATTTTTTGTAATTGATCAAAGTATGCATTGAATATGTTAATATACTTACAAATATTTCATTTACTATATAGGTTTCTTTAAAATAATATGTATTTTACTTTAGTATTGATTTATCAAATTATATACTCATATTTATAACTATGACAGGTTGCACAGTGTTTTTATCCAGGAATTATGTCTAATATTACATTGAAATTCAAATGTTTTAGCTTCTTGTGGACTCTTTGGTATGGATATTGATGATGAAGCCATGGAGATGGTGCAAAGTACGGCTTCAATCTCTGAAAAGTCTGTTAGTAAAGAAAATATGAGTAAGTTACTTCATTGTGATCTTTAATAAATTACTTATATTTTAAATAATGTTATAAGTCCTAAGAAGACATAAGTAGGATCATGTACTATGCCTGTGAGTGTGTGTAGACACCTAATTAATTTTTTATTAAACTAGCTATCTATTTCCAGGGCACTATGATGATGCACAGATGGAAATTTCAGACTTATTCTTTGAAAGGCCTTGTTCATCAACAGGTATTTTTATAGTTTTCTTTAAATTGTATGAAATATATAAATTGTAGTTATGCGATTTTTGAACTTTGCTTAGTTTTTTTTATAAAATAGTTTTGTAACTGATTCTATATATATATATATAAACTTACTACCTATTAACCCTATCAATTGTTACATTTTTTGCAGTGCCTGTTTTAAAGGATAATGGTAAAATTGATGTATCAAAAAAATCTTCAGGTCTTTCAACTGTTCTACAACATTCATTAGCAAAAACAGGTAATTTAACTAAATATTTTTCATGTACTTTGTAGTTTGTACAAACATCCATCAAGGTTATTAACACCTTTAATCTCTAATAAATGTCAAATTTGTACCTTTAATGTTGTTTTAAACTAAATGACATTTAAAAGGATGTTTGTGCAACTGGCTGTGTGTCTACTAAAAGTATTATTGCATCATTTTTAATATACATTATGCAATATTATATACAAATTATGCATTTTAAGTTTCATTAATAGTACTGTAAAACAGTGTTATAATCGTAATCTTTTTGTGATGATTCCATACTCAGTTAAACCTATGACTAGTTGTGAGAGAGGTAATTGTAATATTTCAATAAAAAAATAAAATCAATCAACATAAGTCTAATAAGTAATTATGCATTTTATTTTAATTTTTAGTGATAAAAAAGACACAGAAGAGATTTATTTCAAAGCGAGAGCAAGTTTTATACAAAAAATTACGACTCTTGCAAATAAAACTAAGCAGGTGCCGTAGCCAAAGTAAAAAGATTGCTAAATCAATGAAAATGGCACAAAACATAATGACCAACCAGTCATTCATGAAAAATTTAGATAATATGTCGAGTGCTGGTAAAACACTAACACTGTTGCAATTTAGAGAGCAGAAAAAAAAGGGCAAAGGTCGGCGATTTACCTTAAAAGAGAAAATCGTGGCTTTGACTATATATAAACAAAGTCCTAAGTCTTACAGATTTTTAAGAAAAATTCTTCTCTTGCCAGCAACACAAACCTTAGACAAAATTGTTCAACAGGCTACAATTGCTCCACTATTTGATGAAAAAATATTTCAGCAACTTAAAGATAAAGCAGAACAGATGAAAGACAGTGAGAAGCTATGTGTGCTGTTGTTTGATGAGGTTGCCTTACAAGCCCATCTTAACTATAATGTCAATGAAGATAAAATCAATGGACTTATAGATGACGGAAATACAGTTAAATTCACAAATCATGCTTTAGTTTTTATGTTAAGGGGGTTAATAAGAAACTACAAACAACCCATTGCTTACATGTTCTGTGCTGGAGCTACAGGTGCTACACTATTAAAAAAATATATCATTGATATAATTAAAAAAGTAGAAGAAGCTGGGTTTCACATTATAGCAACAGTCTGCGACCAGGGAACTAATAATCAAAAAGCTATTAAAACTCTGGTTGAAGAACACAGAATCGAAAAGTTAAGAAATGGGGAGGAACTAAAACAAAATATTTTTAAAATAAATGAGTCAGAGATTGTTCCATTATATGATCCTCCCCATTTACTAAAGGGTATTAGGAATAATTTATTGCAAAGAGATTTAATATTTACTAATGAAAATGGAAAACATTGCAAAGGAAAGTGGGAACATATTGAAATGTTATATGCTGAGAATCCAGCTTACAAAGGCTTGAGAATGATTACAAAACTATCAGAGCAACATGTGGTCAAAGAAAAAATTGCCAAAATGCGTGTAAAATTTGCAAGTCAGGTTTTCAGCCAAACTGTTGGACTTATGATGGGCTATTTAGCAGGTAATTATATTCTATTTATTCTTTATATTCTTTTAAATAAAGTAGCTAATATTTCAATTATTATAGGATATATGAGGTGCACCACTGCCCCTCTAGGCATTAACGTTACATATCATGCAATATGTGATAAGATATTATAAAGCAGTATCTTGATACTAGGCTGACTTTTTTTTTGTTTTCATAAAACTTATCTCCATCCAAAGGTTGTGTAGAAGAGATCACTGTTGAGTGATAAGACTCCGAATGTGACACATGAGTTTAGTGTTAACAAATCTATCTATATTTTTGTCACTGCAAACTGCTGCTGAAGTATTAGTATTATATATAGCAGTTAGCATCATAATAGCTGAGATGATCATGATAATGTGTAAATTATAATAGTTTGGATTCCATCTCTACTTATTTATTCACAATACATATTTTCTTCTCATTTCCAGAGAAAAAAATTTTACCTGCCGAATGCGTGGACACTGCAGACTTACTTATTATCTTTGATAAGTTGTTTGACAGCATGAACTCAAGTTATGCAAAAAAAGGAAGACATGGAAAACCATATTTAAGTGCTGTGACACCCACTTCAGTGCATAATGAATTGTGGCATAAAACAAAAAAAATCATGAGTACCATTCATTGACAAAGATGGTAAAACAAAAACTACACCAACCTTAAATAATTTTGTTTGGACAATTGATGGGTTCATATATTTAGTTAAAATATTAGCTCAAATGAATATCACATCGTTTTGGTCAAGACACCTCAACCAAGACCCTCTTGAAAATTTTTTCGGGTCTATCCGAAGTCATGGATGCCGAAACACCAATCCAAGCCCTGCCGCATTCCAGTCCGCTTATACTGCACTATTGATTAATAATATGACCAGTGTGCATGCAGCTGGTAATAATTGTGAGCAAGATTTTTGCGAAAGTTTAGAGTCATTTGTTTTAAATCCGAGAATAAAAAACAAGGGGAATGTCCAGCAAATTGAAATGCGGCATTTATTAATAAATTTTACGCCTTTGGAAGAAAAGAAAAAAAATATAAAAGGAATTGCTTCTTTGACGTATGTCAGTGGCTTTTTCTTAAAAGTTTGCAAAAAGCGAATCTTCCGGAAATGCGAAAATTGTAACACGTGTTTATTCGATGAAAACAAAAATAATGAATATTTGAAATTTAGGGAATATTCAAAGCGTAGTTGGTTATGCTACCCTAGTGAGGGGTTCATTACATTAATATCTCAAATACAAGATGTTTTTCATGAAATTATAAAAGATAAATATAATAGCGAGTATTTGCTACAATATATAATGCTAGTGATCGATTTCAACATTGATATAAATAATATTATTAAATGTACGACACATAAAAATCGGTTAAAAACTTTTTTGTATAACTATACATTGAAATTTTTTATACGGTCATACTGCAAAGACATAAATAAAATATTGTCTGGTAGGAGAAAAATGGATAATCCTAATGATCATTTAGAAAATTTAGCAAATATATATCATATGAAATGTATGAAAATAAAGAAGAAATAAATATAAAAGATGTTTTATTTTAAACAACTCGAGCTTTATAGTTTATGTATAAGTTTTTATTTGTGACATTTGTTGAAGAAGTTCTTTATAAAAAGTTGAGCTTAACTTCTTCAACAAGTGTCATAAAAGTATGTATTCAATGGTTATGAACTTATTACATATACATAGTGTATGTACTATACAGTGATTATATATATGTATAGGTATATCAATAAAAATTTTGGGTCAGGTGCATAGATGGCGTTAGTAATCTGTTACCACGAAAAGGCAACAAGATTGTTCTCTATTTCCATAAATATAAAAGTACTCTTTGTCACATACGAATGTACTCTTTGCCAATCACGTTCTACGAAGAAATTTTTTGTTAGGAAGTTAGTCGTCTGATACCTACTAAGTTTGTGGTCTGCGCTGGATTGTGCTGACCCCGCGCCGCCTTTTTGCCAACGACGCCGAAGCGGGCGCCTACAACGTCGACATCGCTGTGCAGTGTTCGACACCTATATTGCCCGCCGGTATCATCGGAGCCTTTGCATCTGAAGCAACGTCGTGCTGGACATCTACCAAAGCTGCATGCTGCCGACGTGATTTAATGCCGAGGTCGCCGCCGCCGCCATGACGTACCCACGCTTCGCCTATTCTACCTGCGACGCCTAATATTAAAAAGGTCGGGGTATTGTTTATATTTGTGCAAAGAAAGTTCCTTTAAATAACTATTTGTCGTTCGGTGTTATGTATTTTATAAGAAAAAATAATTGCTATTTATAGAAAATTTAAATTTGTGTTATGTTTAACGAGAATAATTTATTTGCCTATTTTAAATAGGAATTTATAACATTACTAAGCATTAAAGTGAATGCATGCCCAGCTAATTTGCACATGCATTACGAATAATTTATTGGGTTCTTTGCTCCCGCCTATATCCAAGACACACCGCCATTTGCATTTACTATTGCCATGACCGTGCCTATTATTTTTGCGTTCTTGATGATAAATTTATATGTATTTAAGCTGATTGATTTTGTTTTATTTGTGTTCTCACGCCGATTTGCCGCAATTGTTCACAGCGATAACGAATCGCTTGATCGATACGTTGCCTGAACCACGTGCTGCTTGCTGCTGCCGCTAGCTGCCTTCTCTACAGCCGACTCCAGTAAGCAGTCTATTCGTGCATCGAGGCAGGCAACGGGCTTGCGACTTCGCTGACCAGTTCTGCACCTACCTAGTGATTTGGTTAGATCTATCCAATTATATTTGCTTAATCCATTGTTATTAAAATTGCCACTAAGGATGAATTTGCTATACTTATACGTAAACGTAGCTCTATAAAAGGTTGTTTAACAAAATTAAAGGAACAAATACTGTCCTTTCAAACTATCAAACTGAGTGAGTTATCTTCTGTTCAACAAAAGAAGTTAACAATTCGCCTAGAAAGGTGTTCAGATTTATTTCAATCTTTTGATGATCTCCAAACATTGAATCTTATTGCGTAGACATAGACAATGAATTAGAAGAAAGGGATTTATTAGAAAATCAATTCATAAATTTAATTTCCACAATACAAGACGTAATTGAATCTTCTAAGACAAAGTCAGATATTAATGATGAAAAATATAATTCAATTGTAAGTTCACCTTCAAATCATCTTCAGGGAAATAATATTAAATTGCCCACTATTAAATTACCATCATTTGATGGCACTTATTCAAAATGGTTAGAATATAGAGATACTTTTGACTCTTTAATTAATTCAAATGATACCATACCTGACATTACGTCCGTGAACTTCTGAGATCTCCTATTTGATTATACACACATTTTACAGGAGGAACTATAAACTGATATATTTAGTCACCGTGAAGACTATTGAAAAAATAAAAAAACACTTGGTCTCTTTTTAAGTGCTTTTACTATTAATGTTGCAAAATAGCTATTATTTTGAGCTTTTCTTTATTTGACGGAAGTTAGGAGTTTTAAGTTTTCAAATTCTCAACAAAATGTAGATAGGAGATATTTACATTAGTTACTCAGGAGGAATCACCCCCCAAAACTATGAATGAAGTGTACGAATCTGAAGATAGGATTTATTAGAAAAAGCCAGAAAAATAGTAAAACTAAAATTAGGTATTAAATACCTAAATTTTATTAACCTTAAAAATCAAGAAACAAAAACCAAAATTAAATCTTCTGACATTCAAATAAACTTAAATCTTAGTAAAAAAAAAAAAACAATCTCTAGTTATGATAGGAACTAAGGTTTTAAACAGTCTTCAAACAACTTAAAAATTTTCTAACAAAAATAATGTTTCCTTAAATTAAAATAATCAACTAATTCAAAGAAGTAGAAAATTAAGGATCATAATATTGAATTAGCTTTAATGATAATGATCATGAGGTAATCCTATTAATATTATAAAGGCGAAAGTTTGTAAGTATGGATGTATGGATGTTTGTTACTCTTTCACGAAAAAACTACTGGACGGATTTGGATAAAACTTTACAGCAATATAGGTTATACATCAGAATAACACATAGGGTACTTTTTACTGGGAAAACTTCTCACTCCCACGGGATACCGACTTCCACGCGGACGAAGTCGCGGGCGTCCACTAGTGAGTCATAAAAGGAATGGCAGTCCAGTGGAATTACTGTCTTCAGTTCCTGTAGGTGTTTGTACTTCTGGTTTGTGATTGGTATTCTATTTCTATGTAAGGGAGGATACTCTCTTTGTTAACACGTTGAGGGAGAGTATCCCAATCGGAATCAAAGTCTAGTTTATATTTAATGATACCGTCTTTGTTGTAACTGATAGCCCTTATATCTGTAACTTTCGGATCGCCAGTCTTGCGACCCGGCCATATTGAGGTATAGCATAATGTTTCTGGAGATGAAAAGTTTTTAAAAAATGTGTAGTTGACCATAATGGTTATGTAAATACTGTAAAACTGCAGTCAAAGGTTGTCGTCGTTCCGATATGCGCTTTCTTAGGGCTTTTGCTAGAGATTTAGATAGACTTGTTTTTTGGGTATCTAATTTTTTTAGCATATCGCACCCCCGGTGCGACACTGTCACTTTTGCAAAAATGTAGTTTTTCAGGAGAAGCATTTAAAACTTTGACACCTCACAAAACAATGACTTTAGAAGATATACATGAGATAAATAGCTTATATTACAATGACAACTTTTATCTTTACTTTTGGATAAATAATGATCACTTAATGTTGTAAAAAAAATACTGTATCATTATTTTAACCTTTAAACCCCCTCAGAAGTGACGTTGTGGCTCTAACAAAAAAATATAACTGTAGTTATGTCACACTTAGTTAAAAAGAAAACAGGAAAAAATTATTTACTAAGTTTTATTTTAAATCAAAAATAATGTACTGTTATTAACAAAAAAAAACAAAATTCTAAAAAAAAAACATAAGAAACTTTGTACTTCTTAATATTAATATTTCTACATAAATGTAGTACAAAAAGAATAAAACGAAGTCAAGAAATATCTGTTTTTATCTTAGAGTCGGTGAGAACTTAAGTTAATATTTACTTATAATTAAAATTAAAAGTAACTTTGGGCTCAATACTATTGCTTCTAGATCTAATTACTAGAATTGTAAGTTTAATCAGACTTGTGATATCACAGCGAGTTAATTACCTATATTTTTAATAATTATTTTAGCATAGTATTAGGAATCCCTTACTAAATTATTCAAAACAATTAACAACAATTATACATAAATTTGTTACATAATAAAATATTAAATTCGTTTTCAACACGTATTACAAGTTTAATAAAATTAAATGAGATCTCTATAGAACTTTTCATAGTATCTTGGCACTATGTTTGTGTCTACCAAACTCAAAAGGTCGCGCTTCTTGCGTTCTGTAATAGCAATCTTCGAGGTATACGCTGGTTTCAAAGCGACCTCATTAATACTTGTAACATTGCCTCGACCTCGACGTAAGTTATTTCTATTAGATTCTATCATAGCTATGGCCTCTTCCCAGTTTTCGGTCTTGTAGGTTGTTCGATATTGATAATTGGCGCAATTTTTAATAAACTTAATACTCATAATCTCGCTAATTTTAATTGCATCCCCGTTAATATTTTTAGTCATGTTAAAGTTTATGTTATCTGCCAAAGCCTTAAGATCGACGAATTCACTGTAGTTCATTTCTTTAACCAAAAATGGTTTCCCTGTCTTCTTTGCTCCTTGTATTATGGATATATATTGTTCAGGAATATAAATGGGCCCAGATTTTTTGGCTCTAGTGATGACTTTTTCGATTACAGAATGTGCTGTGTCGCCTTCGTTTTGTGTATGCCCACGTACCAAGAAGTTGTGTCGTATGTATAGAATTTATGTTTAATTTAGTTACTGCGAAATAGTACATTGCAAATACGAATCGGTTTTTTTGCTGACCGCAGCAATTATCTGAGTAAAAAATTACGTCACAGCCAGGATACTTATTAGCAACTTCTAACAAATATAAGTACACACAAGATCCAATTTCTATAGATCCCCTGTTGCCTAATCCTTCATGCCAAAAATAGCATGTAGTTTCTCGATATTTTGGATTGGAAATAGTAAAATTGTAGCAATTTAGTCTAGATTTATAAAAAAAAGCTGATGAATTTCCTAAAGGGTATGGCAAAACAGCTTGTAAGTCGTAGGTACATACAATCTTTGTGCTTTGAGGATCTTGACATTCTTTCATGTCTCTATCTTTTTCGATCCTACTCAAGCTCTTTTCTTCTTGGTGAATCTTGTAGCTGGCATATAATTTTACTTTTTCTTGTTCCGGTGCATTTTTGTATGCAACGCATTGGTCACAAAGATCTTTCTTCGGCCTAAAAAAGCCAATGTTAAAATCATGATTAAAAATGCGTTGATAGGCGTCGTAATTAACAGCTGGCTTATTATTTTGTTTCTGTACTTCCTTATAGTTTCTGTGCAATTCTGCAATAGTCAAGCCACCGTCAATAAAAAGCCTACTTGTGTTTGCCCTCAAATAGTGGCTTTCCACTTTAGGAATAGATTCAATGTGGTCTTTGACGGCTTTTATCATATCATTGTCCAATTTGCAATGCTTCCCGTGTTTGCCTCGGTGGTCTTCGGGAATGATACCGTCATTGAGTTTTGAAGCATCAATGACAGTTCGTATAGTTCTTGGCGAAATACCCAAGGTGTTAATTAAAAATGTTTTGCAAACCCTGATTGACTGACTATCATTGAGTAAATAAAATGCAGAGCTCCCTTGTCTCGGGTACCGACGATTTGTTTTAATACGCCGGCTTGCAATTTCCAGTGGTCTGATGCAGGAATTCAAAAAATCACGGTGTCTTTCTATGCTGCCTAGCTCCCAATAAGATTTGAATATTTGAATTCTTTTTTCTTGGGTAAAATGAGATGAGCAAGCCAGCCGACACTTACCTGAACAAGAGGGACCAATTTTTCTAGCCTGAACTGTTTTTCCTGTTTTAATTGATCCGATATTCATTACCGGAATTCCTTAATTTCTTTGCTATATTTTTTTTCCAGCTATTAGGATTACGAGTACGTTTTCTTCCCCTTGTTTTTGGTGATGATGTTGATTCTTGATCATCAACAGCCTCAT